AGCCGAGGAGCACGACGCAGGCGGGCAAGCTGCGCATGCGTGGTCTCGGGTAGCATGGAGCCGAGGAGCACGGCGCAGGAGGGCTGGCCGCGCAAGGCGTGGTCTCGGGAAGCAAGAAGCCGAGGAGCACGGCGCAGGCGGGCTGGCCGCGCAGGCGTGGTCTCGGGCAACATGCAGCCGAGGAGCATGACACAGGCAGGTAGGCCGCGTAGGCGTGGTCTCGGGCAACATGTAGCCGAGGAGCACAGCGCAGGCGGGCAGGCAGCGTAGGCGTGGTCTCGAGCAACATGGAGCTGAGGAGAACAGCGCAAGCGGGTAGGCCGGGCAAGTGTGGCCTCGGGCAACACGCAGCCGAGGAGCACGACGCAGGCGGGCTGGCTGCGCAGGCGTGGTCTCGGGCAGCATGCAGCCGAGGAGCACGGCGTAGGCGGGCTGGCTACGCAGGCGTGGTCTCGGGCAACATGCAGCCGAGGAGCACGACATAGGCAGGTAGGCCGTGCAGGCGTGGTCTCGAGTAGCATGGAGTCGAGGAGCACAGCGCAGGCGGGCTGGCCGCGCAGGCGTAGTCTCGGGCAGCATGGAGCTGAGGAGCACGGCGCAGGTGGGCTAGCCGCGCAAGCGTGGTCTCGAGCAACATGCAGCCGAGGAGCACGGCACAGGCGGGCAGGCCGCGCAGGCGTGGTCTCGAGCAACATGCAGCCGAGGAGCATGACACAGGCGGGCAAGCCGCGCAGGCGTGGTCTCGGGCAACATGCAGCCGAGGTGCACGGCGCAGGCGTGGTCTCGGGCAACATGCAGCCGAGGAGCACAGCACAGGCGGGCAGGCCGTGCAAGCGTGGTCTCGGGCAACATACAGCTGAGGTGCACGGCGCAGGCGTGGTCTCGGGCAACATGCAGCCGAGGAGCACAGCACAGGCGGGCAGGCCGTGCAGGCGTGGTCTCGGGCAACATGCAGCCGAGGTGCACGGCGCAGGCGTGGTCTCGGGCAACATGCAGCCGAGGAGCACAGCACAGGCGGGCAGGCCGTGCAGGCGTGGTCTCGGGCAACATTCAGCCGAGGAGCACAGTGCAAGCGGGCTGGCCGCGCAGGCGTGGTCTCGGGTAGCATGGAGCCGAGGAGCACAGCGCAGGTGGGCTGGCCGTGCAGGCGTGGTCTCGGGCAACATGCGACCGAGGAGCACGGCGCAAGCAGGCAGGCCGTGCAGGCATGGTCTCGGGCAACATGCAGCCGAGGAGCACGGCGCAGGTGGGCAGGCCACTCAGGGAGAGAACCCCCGCCTCCTTCTAGCGCCAAAAATGTTGGTGTAAACAACTTCAAGCCGTGGCCTCGGGGCCGTCGCGGCGTAGTTCGGGTCTGGATGATAGGGGATCTCCCTTGGACGTTTCCAGGGATCGCTGAAGCGGCCGATTTCGTTGGTCCGATCAGGACGGGGTCACTGTTTCCACCGAGAGAGAACCCCCACCCGCGCCTTTGGTGGCCGACCTCCGCCTTCGCACCTGCACAAAGGTCAGGTCGGGGAACTCGACCCGACCCCTCCGATGATCAAGTTAGTGGATGGTCGTAGGGGGTTTCTTTGGCTAAGTTCTCTGTGTCTCCTCCTCTCTTTTCCTCGGAGCGCGAGGGTTTTTATAGTGAGAATTACCGTTGCTTGATGTGCTGGCCCGCAAGGAGCAGGACCGTACTTCTGGTAGCATCTAACGTTGCCGTTGACGTGGCGTGAGGGATCGAACTTGAACAGAGCGTTAATGCGCCTTGGTAGGCATTCCGATCCACGTTGACCAGGTGCCTCATCAGGTCAACAGAGGCATGACGCATCACCTAGGGCAGTTGATATCATGCGAGTCTTATCATAATTATTACCCCCATCAACTATCTATCTCGAGAACTTCTAATATTCTTAAGATGCCTCCATGCAAAATGAAGGTAAATGCCTTCAACTCATAACTTAATTCTAATAAACTCCAACTTCTTCCATTTAACTTATATTTCTTCCTTTTTCTTCTTATTCTTTTTCCTCTTTTTCTTGTTCTCGTAATCACATAAGGATCTTTTATCATCAATAATATAAACTGATAAAAAAATAGATAATTAAATGAAACGATTTGAAAATCGAAGAAGAAGAGATAAAAAATATTTTTAAAATATTTATTAGATTGATTTAATATTTTTGAGGTTTAAGACGTTGATGATATTTTAAACTTTTTCATAATAACATAGAAAATATCATCGTTTGAGAAAGTATGAATCCAAAAAATATCATATTCATATGATTGGTAATTAAGGGATTACGAGATAATGGTATGATTGATAATCGAGGATTATATTTAATAAAATTATATTTTATTTATTATTATTTTTGAGATGGTATAATAATAATAATAATAATAATAATAAAAATATATATATTATTTTATTATTATTTTTGAGATGGTATAATAATATTTCTCTTGACCATGCAGATATATGAATCACACTTAAAAATGGGCATGCGGACAGATGACGCACCGTCTTAAAAAATCACCCATATGATTTATATATCGAGTGAATTACACTTAAAAATAATAAAATGTATATGATTTATAAAAACACTTACCCATTGATCACGGTTTATATGAATCAGTGGGATTTATAACAATAGTGAGATTTATATGAATCACACTTAAAAATCGCCCATATGATTTATATGCCAAGTGATCACGTACCGTCTCTCAAAAATCGCCTATATGCTCATATAATTTATATGCGGATGGATATATACACATGCCATCTCTCAAAAATCCCTCCAAAATTACCCATATAATTTATATGCCGAGTGACCACTTAAAAACAGATATGCGGACAGATCACGTACCGTCTCTCAGAGTTGCAATGAATTTTGACAAGCTCTATGGACCAATCGATCGAGATCGGACGGTGAACACTGTTCGGGGACTTCCTTTCCATTAATTCGAGTGACAATTCGCGGGCTACCGTTAATAGTCATTCGCAGGCATTGGTGTCGGCCGCCCTCCCGCGGGACAAGAATCACGGTGTTCTTTCAAGAAAAATGGTGGGTCCCAAGCCGTGTGCTGGGGATCGTGAATCAAAAATGGTGTTCCCTGCATTGTGCGAGACAGGTGACCATCGCTTGTTGTCGGAGCGGGGAGCACCGTGTAAACCGGTGCGTGACTCCAACATGTGGATGCTCCACATGAAACAGCGAGACAGAGATTTTGACCAGTGAAAACGGGGGACTAGAGAGACACGACTTAACAACGACGTGGATGCCGCTTTAACCGCCACGTTGTCGGAAGCATAATGAGACCTCTGTGGCGAACGCGCCCTGCTCAGCGCACGCGACGCGCCTTTCGTACGAGCGGCCTAGGAACCTTATCCGCTCATCGGACGGCTGTGGGGGCTCGGTGGAGGCGGGGCCCAATGGGTCGGCGACCCCACGGGCACTGGGCCACGGGCCCTCCCGGTCACTCTCTATATCTGCCCTGCCCGAGATAACGACTGAGCGCTGACCTCTCCTCCCTCTCTCTCCCCGCTCCCCGCAAAACCAAAAACCTTCACCTTGTGTTCTTCTCCTTCCGTGTCTAAGAAGATGGTAGAATTGGCGGAGCTGCCGAGTCGCCTAGCGATCCTGCCCTTCAGGAACAAGGTCCTCTTGCCTGGGGCCATCATCCGTATCCGCTGTACTTCGCCGAGCAGGTAATCGACGATCGAAAGATCAATCTGATTGATCTCTGCTTTTCTCACCGAAATATAGTTTTAGTGGAATTCTACTGATAATTGGTTGGATTCGTTGTGAAAAAAAAAAAAAACTTTTTTAAGGAAGAGAAGTAGACGATTAGGTTAAAAGGGCGCGTTAGTGGGATACCCTTGGTTTATGTTAATGAAGACGGGAAGTTTTTGAAAACGGTGTGCTTGGTTGAATTGCGATGCTTTAGTTACCAATTACGTGTGAGCGATAGTTTTAATACATTTTTTCTTTTAGCAATGTTTTGATTAATCGTATGGGATTGTGGTGCTAATGTGTTGTTTTGCAGTGTGAAATTGGTGGAGCAAGAGCTGTGGCATAAGGAAGAGAAGGGTTTGATTGGCGTGCTTCCAGTTAGGGATACTGAGGCTGCCGCCGTGGGGTCAATGATAGCTCCAGGTAATTTGGTTCTGTGTCTATCTCCTTAGCTGATTAAGGAGAATATTTGGTTTCATGTTCGGCTATCTGAAGGTATGGGGAGCGATTCAGGGGAGCAAAGTCTGAAAGCAAAAGCAGATGTGGGAGAATTTCAGAATCAGGATGCAAACAACGAGCAGGAACTTATGCACTGGCACCACAGGTGGGTATTGTAAATATCCATTTCCAAAAATTTCTATTATGTTTCAATAAATTGCACGTGCAAATTTTACTTTCAACGTCAAAATATAGCAAATTAAGGTTTCTTGATGGTTGGCTTCTTTTTGTTCCTATGCTAATAGCTACTCAAAACTTATTATCTTAATTCAAGTGTTTAAAATTTGTAGCCAGCTGAGTGTTACTTTATTGTTGCAGTTACTACCATGTGTTCTTCAGAAAAAACCAATATAAGTCATCCATGTTGAACTTAAAAAGATCTATCTGTTGGATGTGTTTGAAACTTTGAGTCGCATTACAATGGATGACCAGAGAGACAGATATCTCATTTTTGTAATTATCTTATTTTACATTTGTAAGGATGGATTCCTAATTAGATCTTTAAAAGATGTATATTGCAATTGAGAATTCCAGAGTGGAAAGCATAGAGAGTTGGCAATTTTGGTTATGTTAATCCTTTGGACATGAGGATGTTCCTTTGGCTATTCCAAATGGATCTGTAGTTATGGAAAATGCTGTGAGGACAAAAAGAGCGAGATATATCCCTTGGCCAACATATTGATGATGTACACAATTAGTTATCTAAGTCTTATATCAAGCTGCTAGGGTCTGAGGTACCTAAGTTGACACCAAAGTTGTGAAGTAATCTTAATCACACAACTCGATTGAGGTGCTTAAGCTTTCTTATACAGTTGAAAAACCTCAGTAGAAGTTGTCTACTTGGTTAATCTAGGGGTTCTCGGACTTTTCAATTTCTACCAGATCAATGTAATTGTTTTGAGGCTAAATAGAAATACATTATGCATCTTTTGTTATTTAGAAAAACATCAGTGGAACTTGTTATCCTAAGTATTTGATTCATCTATACAAATCCTTTGTGACTTTTAGGTGCTTAAGCTTTCTCATACAGTTGAAAAACTTCAGTAGAAGTTGTCTACTTGGTTAATCTAAGGGTTTTTGGACTTTTCAGTTTCTACTGATCAATGTAATTGTTTTGAGACTAAATAATACATTATGCATCTTTTGTTATGTAGAAAAACATCAGTGGAACCTGTTATCTTAACTATTTGATTCAGCTATACAAATCCTTTCTGGCTATCCTGTATTATTTCTGCAACCATCATGTGCATATTGTATCTCCTTTCCACACCCATTCTTAGGCCAGGAAAAGAGTGTGGAGCACATAACTTTTGCTAGAATGAGTAAGCTCCTTTCCTATGGAGAGTTAGTAGTTTTAATCAAGGGATTGATATCAACTTTGAACTGGTTTCTCGACAATAGATATTATTTCTCAAATACTTATTTGTCCACCAGCCATGGGGTGAAATTGAGATATTGAGTAATATATCTTAGACCATTGTCATTTCTACTGATGGCAAACAAACTATTTCCTAGGCTTGTTCACTTTGTATAAGAGCTCTTATGACACAAATACACATCTGAATATTTATGTTAGCTATAAAATTTCATTAACAAGACTTTGATTTTCAGAGGAGTTGCTGCTAGAGCTTTGCACCTCTCCCGAGGAGTTGAAAAACCAAGTGGGAGGGTTACCTACATTGTTGTTCTTGAAGGGTTGTGCAGGATCAGTGTTCAGGAACTCAGTACAAGAGGAACATATTATGTTGCACGTATCAGCCGTCTTGATTTGACAAAGTCTGGTAAGGTGCTCTATTGTGATCCATTGTTCATTTGCCTGTTACATATGTTCTGTTCCAGTGCCAAATTTCCTTCATATACATGCAGTTTTTCTTGGAAGAGATTAATTTTCTTCTCATATGTGTTCTTGTGGGACTACATATGGTGGAATTTAGTGCCTTTTAGTCGAAGGTTAAATGAATATAGTGATGTGGAGTTACAATAATTCATATGGCATTTACGTATACTGTTGTTGGTTGTTACCATATGTTTTCTCTATAAACTTTCCAATAACAAGCACAAGTTTCGGTCGGTAGCCCAGGTTCCCAACAAATTGGGGTGTAATTGTGACATTGCAGCTTGTTATGTGTTTGTCATTGTTACTGGATGGGCAAAGGCCTAGAGAGCTCAGTCATTTTCAATGACCATGTAAATTCTGTTCCACTAACATCGGTTTCAATAATGGAGACATCCTTGCCTCTGGGCCTTTTGGTGTTCAATGCGTATGGTAAATGATAAAAAAGGTTCTTATATGTCAAGTCACGTGAAAATTTTTCTTTCATTACTAATACTGCAATGCAATTCAGTAAATGAGTACTATAGCACAGTTTAATATAACAATTAATGGAGAAACTTACTACATTAAAAATGATAACTAGATTTTTCTAAACAGAAATGCTGAATGATGCAACATATTTATGTCTATAGAGGACTCTTGTACATCATGTAGTCTGCAAGTAAAAAGGGATAATTTGAAAAAGACAGGAGGTCCTGGCAAGCGGAAGTCGGAAAATAATGTCTTAAGATTCTGATTATAATTTAGCGTCATGCTGTCCTTGTTTATCTATTTTTTTCTCTAAGGCCTTTTCTGTAGATTGTTTCTTGAATTTACTCTGTTTGTGATAAAAATGAATGAAAAGTTTGATTCCTTTTCACAGGTTATAATTTGATATTGATTTATTTAATTAGGATTCAATTGAGAATAAGGAAAAGCTGACCTATACTTGCTTCCAAAATCCAATAGCAAGAACAATATAATATCATAAAGTTGACCTTTTGGTTTTTATAAACTGTTAAATTCACGATATTGTCAAGTCTGAATTGAAAACTTTCAGCAACAAGTACTACCCAACTTAATGAAACCAGATGTGGATCTCTTTGGTTTTATAATTCTTATAGATGTATCTTCTAATATTTCATGTTTCCACAGCAACTTATGATTCTCTCTTATATACCAATATTTTTTGTTGTTGTGTATTCTGATTACACACTTGGACATGAGGCTAAGTTTAAGGAATGTTGGTTGTCTTTTACCATGATGTTTGATTGAAGTTTTCCTTCTTCCCTTTTTAAGTGTTTGGGTGAATAACCTTGAGATTTGTTATCTCTATGTGCACATATATCAATAGTAAAACTTGTAGTGATAACTACAATTCTTTTTGCAGAAATCCTTGGACAGTTTCTTGCATGTGAGGCATTAACACATTGTTATGTTTTTTTTTTGGGGTTGCTTAGAGCTGGAGCAAGCAGAACAAGATCCAGATCTTGTTCTGCTATCTCGCCAGTTTAAAGCTACTGCCATGGAGCTAATTTCTGTTCTTGAGCAGGTAAAATGTTTTATTTTGAACATTTCTATTAACATAAAATTGTGCTTATTGGCTTAAAACAGTAGGGTTTGGTCAAACAATATAACAACACTAACAAAAATATAGACCATCTCGCTTGTATTTAAACCCCAAGTATCTTATAAGATGACATTTTTATAAAAAACCTGAGTTATATTTTTGCACATCTTTTCCATGAGTCTTAGCTTATGGTATGTAACTGTATTATTATGCTCTGTGATTTCAAATTTTTTTTAAAAGGATTTTGAAGTATTTATGGTTAATTGTTTGTGTTTAAATTGTGTGTTTGTAACATTGGCTGGAAGTCGTTCTCTGTTAGTTTATGTTAGGTTATCTGATAGGGTTGCTCACATTTCTTATGCCACTCTCAGAAGCAGAAAACTGTTGGTAGGACAAAAGTTCTTCTTGAGACAGTTCCTGTGTATAGGCTGGCGGACATATTTGTTGCTAGCTTTGAGATAAGCTTTGAGGAGCAGTTATCAATGCTAGATTCAATTGATTTAAAGGTTCGACTCTCAAAGGCAACTGAATTAGTGGAGAGACACTTGCAGGTCAAGTTTGCTGTTCCTTGATTTTATTAATTATCATGTTTCTTCATCTTAATGTAATTTTGTGGACTGGTATGCAAGGAAGGTAACTAAGTAGGCTTTTCTAAAATATGTAATATTTTGTCATTGATATCTAGACAAGTGTTTATAATATAAACTTAACATCTACTTGTTTTCTCAACAGTCGATTCGTGTGGCAGAAAAAATAACTCAAAAGGTTGAGGGTCAGTTATCAAAATCACAGAAAGAATTTCTTCTCAGACTGCAGGTTCGTTACTCCAGCTGCCCACTTTTTGAGTATTTGGTGCCTTAAATCTCTTATGCTCAAATCTTCTCTAGATGAGGGCTATAAAGGAAGAACTTGGTGATAATGATGATGATGAGGATGATTTGGCTACCTTGGAGAGAAAGATGCAGAGTGCAGGAATGCCTCCTAATATATGGAAGCATGCTCAAAGAGAACTTAGGTGCGTTAATTACCTATTTAATACGTAATATGACATTTGACCATGTGTCATATTTGGTTGGGTGGCTGCGATATATGTTTTCATCAGGAAGTACAAGCTGGTTATATAACTGGAATCACAAGGTTATTGAAATAATCACTTTCCACCTACATACCAAAGTAAAGATGTTGATTGCTGAATTAATTGCTTTGTCTCAAATCATTACTAGGAATGCATGCACACATTATACATACAATTTCATGTTTAGGCCACACTTGTCTGATGTCTCTTGTGAATGACTTTTATTTCTCAATCTTTTCCTGTATCATGCTCTGTCTCTCTTAATTATGTAGAGAGGCATGTTTTTTGTGTGATTCTTTTAATAATTGTAAGAAGCGTGTTCCCATGGTTGAATGATTTTGTTACTGAGGCAAGTTACATATATATATATATATATATATATATATATATATATATATATATATATATATATAATTTATTGCATGTTTAGGCCACACTTGTATGATGTCTTTTTTGAATGACTTTTATTTCTCAATCTTTTCCTGTATCATGCTGTCTTTCTTAATTATGTAGTGTGAGGCATGTTTTCCATGTGATTCTTTTAATAATTGTGAGAAGCATGTTCCTGTGGTTGAATGATTTTGTTACCAAGGCTCAGAAGAGTACGTTAACTACCTACATCAGAATTTGAAAATCATTCTCAATCCTCATTCCTAAACCTTTTCCCATCATGCATATTTTATGCACTCTCTTGTTTTTCCATGCTATCCTTAAAAACCTGAAACTTTGTAGTACTGTTTTAACTTCTGTGTCTAAAGTTGCTCACTAATAGAAAGCAGGTTTGTTCAATACTTAATGAGAATCAAAGTAGATTATTAAAGACTTTGGAGAAAATATGTTTAGGTAAAAAGGGTAGGATTAACTGTCTAAGTTTCCTTTATAATGATGTGCTCCAAGCTGGAAAAGATTATTTGATTGTACCTTATGTTCTTATAATATCTATTGTTGACGTATTGAGATTTGACTAATTGAGGACCAGGATACAAAGCCTCCTTTCATCAGAAAGAAATCATTCAGTTATTTATTACTAAAGAATAAATAGATGTATGTCTTACTAGTGTGTTTGATAAAAAAATCAGTTATACTTTTCTGTGGTTTTCTTTTCTTTTTCCCTTTCCGGGTGTTATTGATGGAGGCATGGGACCATTGAGTTTCATTATGTATAAGATTCTAAATATAGAAGTGTGCCTAATTATTGGAGCTCTCAAAATGCATTAAACATGATGCTTTGATGCTGCTAGTTGTCGTTTACTCTTAAAATGTTACCACGTTTATTCTTTATAGTGTCAATGCACTATACCTGTAGAGCACCAAAAGAGAAAAAAACCTGAACCATGGTTCTATACAGCTCTGCGATGTCTGGCTTCCAATTAATTTCGTGCAAGTGTCAGATAATTAAATAAATAGATCTGACCTTTTGATCTTGCTTGCAGGCAACTGAAAAAGATGCAGCCTCAGCAGCCTGGATATGGCAGTTCACATGGATACTTAGAGATTCTTGTGGATCTTCCATGGCAGAAAGTCAGTGAAGAACCTGAACTTGATCTTAAAGCTGCCAAAGAAAGTCTCGATCGTGATCACTATGGGCTGGTCAAAGTTAAACAACGGATCATTGAATATCTAGCTGTTCGAAAGGTTAAATTTTTATCTTTATATTGTGACTTTATTTTTTTGTACTTTTAATAACATTGCATCTAATTAGAATTAACACCACTGTTTACAAATGCACTGTATTGCAGCTTAAACCAGATGTCGGAGGTCCTGTGCTTTGTTTTGTTGGTCCACCTGGAGTTGGAAAGACATCATTGGCATCATCAATTGCAGCTGCTCTGAATAGAAAATTTGTACGTATATCTCTAGGTGGTGTCAAGGATGAGGCTGATATAAGAGGACACCGAAGGACGTACATCGGAAGCATGCCAGGACGTTTAATTGATGGATTAAAGGTTTGCATTTGTACTTTTCTACTGCAAGATATTGTTTGGTGAAGTAATCTTCTTTTCTTGTGTATTCTTTTTTTTGCCTGGTTGAGGTTAGTTGTTAATTTTTTCATTTACACTTCTAATATGTCCAGATCATGGGGCTTAGTTTTAGTTTTACATTTTACTTATCCTTCCTCTAGAGTTTGTCATTAGAAGTTCTCTTTTGTTCTTGTGTCATGGGCTAGAATTAATTTAAAATTCAGAATGTTAGTTATAGACACAAGCTTAAGCAAGTATTGCTAAACAAAAAATTATGATATTGATATCTAGTTATAACATGTGCTTATGCTAAGAAGTTATAGAATCTAACATCTATGTTATGCTTTACAATATTGATATACTAATGTAGAAGAGTTAATTCCAGGCTTGACAACAAAATTGGACTATATTATCATTCAATAGATTAAGCATGATCAGAGATTGTTAAGTTAATTGGCACATGTTGGCACAAGTTGAAACATGCAGTGCCTGAAGAAGTTTGGCACATGCCATGTCAATTCATACCATATCGGAGATACATGTGGCTAGACCAACTGTTGACCAGCGCTGGCCGGCCATAGGGTTGTGTTGAACAGCATGGCACAGAATTTTGCTGGGCTGGAAATATGTCAACATGCCCCTATGATATGAAAATCCTTCATCATGACGATGATAACATTACATAAAGCTAAGGATGTAGAAATTGAGAATCTTGAGAACACAGCATGATTTTCCCATACAAACAATATGACAGAAGGACAAACAATAATGAGTAATAGGCCAAACAAATACCATTTTGTTTTGCTAATAAAACAGAAATGAAAACTTTTAAACTTTATGAAACATTTTCTTTGTTGTTATTTCTTTCTTTTGCTATTTGTATCTGGAAAAATCTATTACTATATACCAAGGTCTGCCATACCGAAGCGTACTGCCCATATCGGGCGGTACTTACCGGTCCGGCAGGTTACCGGTACGCGGACCGCCCGGTACCGCTACAGTGCTACAGTATTATACCGCTCGGTACACCAGGGTGTACCGCTCGGTACGCCCTGATGTACCGCCCGGTACACCAGTACCATACCATACCGAGCCCGGGTCGAAACGCCGGTACGGTACGGTATAGCGAACCTTGCTATAGGCATCCCAATCAAGGATTGTCAAGCCATTCGGCATGTGTTGGCATGGTGGAGATGTATTGTGCCAAAAATAATATCAGTGGCCATGCCAATCCTTACTCAAGTTGCTAACATATGGTGAGACCAAAATTTTGGCCTATGCTAGTTAGTACAGGGGTATGCTGATCAACATAGCAAGGAATCCTACTATGCCATAAAGCTATCAGCACGCTTCAGTGCTTCTATGACAATTCTTACCTCGATTGTTTTTGCACTTAAATAACAATGATACATAAGATTAGGGCAGAACTGAATATTTGTTTAACATTTTGGCAATTTGTGGAACCTTATGATTCCTGTTATATTCTTAAGTGTACAAAAATGCCTTCAATACTCATAGGAAACATCTTTAAAGAGCCACTTTCGACATGAAGGCTTGCTCAATCATGCCTCGAGGCTTTAAAACCTATAATAATGCCTCTAGTATCTAGCATGTAATTATTTTGAATCTGATCTTTTCCAGAGCAAGTTGACTTAGGTTCAGCAGTCATGGCTTCATTTTTTGTCAGCCTGATCATTAGTAGTTTTCACTTAGTAATCAATTACCACTATTAAGTCTTTTATGTTACTTATAGAGTATTGCAGACTAAGCCTAATATTTCTTTCATTTTAGTATCTTGTCTGGTTATCTGTGGAGGTTGCTTTGTTTCAATGGCTATATGAAAATTGTTTCAGTTGTCAACATCTACAATTCATATCACTTACAACTGCAGAGAGTGGCTGTTAGCAATCCGGTTATGCTGCTTGATGAAATTGACAAGACAGGTTCTGATGTTCGTGGGGATCCTGCATCAGCATTATTGGAAGTCCTTGACCCAGAGCAGAACAAGACTTTTAATGATCAGTATCCTGGATTATGAAATTATAGTGTGTGATCTTTTACGCTTACACTACTGCATTAGTTCTTCACTTTAAATATATGAAAATTTCATTAATATTGTTTGCTTGCATAGGTTGCCCTTGCACATGTTTATTTCAAGATGCACTGTTTTGTTTCCTTATTTACTAATTGAATAGCTTCATTCTGAAATTGCCCTTCAATTTTTATTTTTATGGTTGGTTTCTCTTTACATTTTTTTTTTATTACTCAAGGAATTTCTGTTACAAACCATAAGCCCAATAGGTGCTGTACTGCCTTTGGAGTATTGAGGGCAACTGAAAGTACAATTGATTTTTCAACAAACTAGAATTAATTTGTTTGTTGTTTCGTATGCCTTTTGTCCCAAATTGATGTACTCTGAGAGGGTTCATTTGTTGATGTGGTGGTACTAGATTTTTTCCGTGGATGATGGTCAATTCCTTCTCATTAGATTATCAGTATTATTTAGATGGTATGGAGATGGATAAAGTTTTATAAGATGCTTTCTGAGGAATTTATCTTTTACATAACCTCAATATATGTTTTGTATCTTATTTCTTAGTTCAAGTAAATTACTTAACTTGTCTTTTCAGTTATTTGAACGTCCCCTTTGACCTGTCAAAGGTAATTTTTGTTGCGACTGCAAATAGAATTCAACCTATTCCTCCGCCACTCTTGGATCGGATGGAAGTCATTGAGCTTCCTGGATATACACCTGATGAAAAGCTGAATATAGCCATGAAGCATCTTATACCACGAGTCTTAGACCAGCATGGTTTAAGCTCTGAGCTCCTCCAAATTCCTGAGGTAGAACTTTATCTCATGTCAGTTCATTAGTAATGGAACAACCTTCATGAGCCAGTGAAAATTTTTCTATTTGCAAGATATTGATATTAATTATTTCATAATAATCTCCCCCAAAATGATGAATTTTATGATATTGATATAAATTTCATCACAATCTTCTGCAAAATGATGTATTTTTATGGCTTTGCGCTAATAATGTTATTACTGTCTGCTCAGTAGTTTGTTGAAATTTGCAAGTGTTGTATTTTTTTCTGCAATAGGAATTCTAATGTATCTTCTTGGCTAGTCTACTAGGAGATTTTTAGTCAGTCCTCTTAATGTTTCGGACATGCTTGTGTGTGACATCTCTATATTCTTTTTTTTAGATGGATTTTAGCCTCAGTTACGCATGGAAGAAAAGTTATATATTTCTGATTTGCTCCAAATCTGCAATCCAAATACATTTTTATCAAAGATCATCAATCTAAGTGCAACAAAATTATTTTTGAGGTTCAATGAACATGGTTGGGATCAACGTTTACCTGCACTGTCAATACCGAGCTTATTATCATCATTATTTTTCTGTTAAGATTAGGTGAAACCGAAGTGCCTGGATGCTGACTTTCCAGGTAACCAGGAACTGATCTGGATATCGAAAGCAACCTGATACTAATAACTTTTAGGCACTTACTCTGCTATCAGGCAATAATATGTTGTTCATTAAATAAATAACATGTTAATGATATTATTTGATTGAATAAAATAGTATTTTTCTTTTTTTTTGGATGAATATTAGAGAACAGGAATTCTTTATTCTTCCTCAGTCTAGTGTTCAATTAACATGACTAAACCCAGTTTAATTAATTTTTGCATTATAGTTTGTTAATGAGGTTAAGGAAGGTGTTCAATGAGTAGATCTTTTACGGTTGAGCATATTTTTAAAATTTTGTTTCCCATTCTGGTTTTCATTGAACAAAAAAGCAGAATGCTTTGAAGATATGACCTATTTAATGGAGTGGTAGTTATATCATGGGTAGATATATCATGGTTTTAGAAACTAGTATAATAACTATTTTGACAAGTTGTCAGACTATTGGAGTACTGAGACATCGATAAGAGTGAACTTGTGGTCCAACCATTCTTTTAAACCATGGTTATAACTCTGGTTGTATGCAAGCATTTTACCATTATCTTTTGACTAACAACTTATATCCTATGTTATGGAGGATAAATGCACTAATTTCCATTTATTCCATGATTTGAACCATGTACTCGGTGAAATTTCCTGACCCTAAGCTGGGGAACAGTGGCAGCCATAATCATCCTGCTTATTAGTGTCCATGCTATGCACGTAGTTGGCTACTCTGATGTAAAGTATTCTGCTAATATAATTGTAAATATGGAAAATAGATAATATTTAGTCATATGAAAGTATATCGCAGCTTCATAACATACATTTTTGGAAGTGTCTATGTAAGTAGTTGGATGTAGGTAGACATTCATGGTTAGTTCATTCATGTAGACACAAAAAAAAAAGATGCCCCCTATATGCAATTGTTATGTAGTTAAAGATCATCTACATTCTAGCCTTTTTCAAGCGTATTATAAGCGCAATTGATAGGTGGGAATAATCATGGAATATATATCAAAAGTTTATAATTGGTTAATATCTTAGATCAATTCCATAAAGCTGATATAAAGTGCCATCAGGGGAAGTTATGGAAGATAAGTATTTTCCAAAAAGTCATGCTAGTTGGTGGATACAAATTTCTAACTTCTTGGTGGCAGTTAAAGCTCATGCAAATCATAGAGCAATTACATGTTTTTTCTTAGACCTGGGGAGGGTTCAGGAGAAGCAGAAATGAAAAGCTTTTCTAGTCAGTGATTCATCTTGAAGCTACAAATGAGCCAATGTGCTAACAAACAACATAGATGTTATTTTAACTGACAAAACTAAAAGTCATACTTAGACGTGTATCCATGTCTATGAGCCTATGAAGAATACAGAGATGCTTTATTTTTACCTGTCTAGATGTGTACATTAGATTTGAAAGTAATCACATTACTAAACATATAGAGGATCAAATGGCACCACAAATTAGATTGTGTTCCTTGGGGCTAGCATTCTCAAACTTTTTATGGCTCGCTGTCTCTTTTCCTGAATGTTGGTGTTGAAAGATACATGAATAAGTCAAATAATCATTTCTTCATGCCCAGAGGTCCTAATCAACAGTGATGGCAAGCATGATTCTTTTCTTTCACGTACCATTTTGCTGATCATGATCCAGCACTCTTTACCAATGAGTGGCTAGGCATCATTTTTATTTGTAGGGTGACTCTCCATGTTGGCAGTTAAGTTTTCCTTCTCATGGATGTATAACAATGTCCTGTCAGTGATTAGTCCTTCCTAATGCCTGAATAGGGTATGGTGACGCTAATAATTCAGAGATATACTAGAGAAGCTGGTGTACGTAATCTGGAGAGGAACCTAGCTACTTTGGCTCGTGCTGCTGCTGTCAAGGTTGCTGAGCAAGATTCCACCATGCAACTTAGCAAAGATGTACACCCAATGACAACTTCCTTTTTGGACACACGAGTTGCTGATGGTGCTGACATTGAAACGGAAGTTATTCCTATGAGCGTCAGTAGACAGGAGATATCAAATTCTTTCACAAGTGCCTTGGTGATGCTTGTAGATGACGCTATGGTGGAAAAAGTGCTTGGGGTACTCACTCATCCATTATCTTTAGTTCAGTGCAACTATTTCTTATCATGTTTTGTACTCAACTGTAACTTGTCATAAAAAATTACTAAGATATAGCCAACATGGAAACTGCAGCCTCCTAGATTTGATGATAGTGAGACTGCAGATCGGTTAGCAACTCCAGGAGTATCTGTTGGGCTTGTCTGGACATCCTTTGGTGGAGAGGTTCAATTTGTTGAAGCCACAGCAATGATGGGCAAGGGTGATTTGCATCTTACTGGACAACTTGGTGATGTTATTAAAGAATCAGCACAAATAGCTCTTACATGGGTATTTTCTATCTGCTTTGTTTCATCTGCTTCTTCTCATGTTGAGTGTTGTGCTCTTGGTACACAAAATATTTTTGGCAATACATGCATATTTTATTTTCTCATCTGCACCACAAGTTGAAGGATTTTAATTTCTTGAACTTCTTTTTCTTTGTGCATTTTTCAGTTCTTTTAATTGGATCATCTTATATGTCCTATATATAAATTTCAAACAGAGATTATTATTACTGGTATTCTGTGAGATGAAACATGCAAGGTAGATGTACCCTTACCCACCAGCCTGTTAGCAAAGGTGGGGATGACTTCATAAGAGATTGCTTATAGGTCTCAAGTTCATCCAAACATATATTTCCTTAGGACAAACCAAAATTATTCATTTACCCAAATTTAAATGCACTAGGAATATGCTCAACAAAACAGTCCATACATATACTCTAAAACTAGCATATGTTGTGTAGAGTTTGGCCAAGAACTGGTGTCAGATCATATAGTTTGGTACCAGTTAGTATGCATTTTTTTACTTTTCTGGTAACGCCGGCTGGGTCAATATACTGCTTGGTATAGTGGTATCATATCAACTTGATCGGATATCGTAGTCAATAAAATAGTGAGATTTAAATTCTTGCATGCAATTGAAGAGGATAATCAATCCCAAGCTGAAATCCATGCATGAGTATAAGAATTGATAAACCTTCAAAGAGTTCCTCTGTGCTAGGATACAAAATTTAGGTATTACTAAACTGTCTTTTGAAATCTATTGATGCTACATCGTGTGTGAGTAACGTATGCCTATGTACCAGCTGTCATTTGCGAGCTTTCCCAGTTTCTGTTTGAACTTATGTTTCCTTTTTCAAACAAGTAAATTATACTAGCTTCCAGAGTCAGAGTTATCACCTTTAGTTTTCTATATGTCATATATTTGATTTTAGCTTGTTTCTACATGGCAGGTGAGGACAAGAGTAGCAGATCTTAAGCTGTCAGCAACTGGTGAAATTAATTTGCTCGAGAATCAAGATATTCATATACATTTTCCTGCTGGTGCTGTGCCGAAGGATGGACCATCAGCGGGAGTAACTTTAGTGACATCATTAGTATCACTGTTCAGTCAAAGAAAAGTTAGGGCAGATACTGCAATGACTGGGGAGATGACTCTCAGAGGCCTTGTATTGCCTGTCGGTGGTATCAAGGATAAGGTATCCGATACTAAGTTTTATGCCCCTCTTATATCTGGTATACTCTAAAAAAATGTTAAAAGCCCTATTTTTTGTATGATTATGTTGTCAAAAGTAGTTTTACAGTCTGTTCTTTTTAATTAAGATATTGGCGGCTCATCGATATGGCATCAAACGAGTTATATTGCCTGAACGAAATTTGAAGGACTTAACTGAAGTTCCATCAGCAGTTCTTGGTGGCATGGAGGTACATTGATTTCAATGGTTATATTTTGCTTGGCCCTTTTTGATGCATATTATATTGTCTGGAAGATATATGATTCACTTAGTTGCTGGATTTTGAAATTGTATATGCAAATATTATGCATATTGTGATGCATTTTGAGGTTATCAACTGATTATTTTCTTTTAAAAAATAACCTGGAAATTAGATAGAAGTTTAATTAGCAATGCAATTCAAGCAGAAGGATTTAAGCGAGCAATTACAAAGTTGATGGCAATTATGAAATGAAAACAAGATCTTGCAGGTCCTTTTTTGATTGATGCAATTATTATAATTAAAAAATGTTATTTTTTAATATTATACACATATATTAGTTTCTTTTCAAAACCCATCCAGGAATCTTTTATCCTCTTTGGTCTCTTTCTTGCTGCTTGGAGAACTGTAGGCATCCATCTTGACTTTTCATTAAAAATACCAGCATGGCTGATTTTCCATTACTTTCATTCCTGTTGCTATATTACCAATCTAACATTCTTGACTAAATTCCAGCCACTAAACATGATTGTTGTCGCATATTTCTTTCACTAAACATTTTTATACTTCCTGTGTTCATTAGTTTGTGACTTATCTTGGCAATTCCTTTGTGGGATAGAGCTTTTTATAAAAATGCAAGAGAATTTTGTAATGTAACATCGTTAATTTCTTAACCATAAAAACTGCAACAGATAACTCCGTCATTCAGAATAGGCAACAATCGGTCTCGATGTTTGAGGAATTGTAACTGGAATTTGGGATCGACACTAAAAATCTTGACTGGGTGAATCTGGTCCATGTTGCTGAATCAGATTGGTATTGGTCATATTCAGTCTTTAGCTGTTTCCTTTTTTATTTTTATTTCTTGATTTTTGGGACTTCAAAGTTCAAACCCATCTGGAAGAACCAATAAATGGTTGTTTTTGTTTTGTTAATCATTCTTGGACATGTAAATAAGAGGCATAACATTGATGAGTATTATCTTTAGATCTCTATTATCTTTGCAATATGATTTAAATTTTTTGAATTGGTTACACCATGTCAAATCCATTCTTTTCCTAAGATGCTACTAGTTGATTCACGAAGTATATTCATGTCCAACCTGGAAAGTGTAGCATGCCTTAGATTCATATCCCATCAATCCTAAATACCAATTCGTTACTCGCTGTATGGACTAAGAATTTGTTACTGATTTCTGATGCTTATGTGCCAGAAGAATCACTTTTCCGCAGCACTTGAAAAGAGATTCTGACTAAGATTCTTGCTAATACTTTTTGACAGATGCTACTTGTGAAGCGCATTGAGGATGTGCTGGAGCAAGCATTTGAAGGTGGATTTCCCTGGAAACAGCATTCCAAGTTATAGCATCCATGTATCTCCCCTTGATAACAAGAAGATGGATCCACTGCTCAGACCTGCAGTCGCAAACTTACGTGAATGATCACCACCAATCACTTGGAATCCTGCAATGCACAAAATGTCACTTACACGAATCAATGCCCAATCGCAGTACGTCCGATGCTGCATCGGTGTTATTTATATTCCAGTTCAGTGACTGTATTCTGAGGGAGATCAGTGAAGCAAGAAGCGATGGCATGTGCTGTTTTGCATGTACACCTACATCAAGCTGATGACTGTTGATGGATATAAAGAATCAACCCCATTCTCTCCTGCCAATCAAAATCTGAACATTTGATGTCTCTTCAACTTTACGTTCATCTTAGTGACTCTTTTCTGTGAATGGAGCATTGTTGATTGTTCCTTCAACGCTTGCTCTCAGGTTTCTTATCACGGCACCGAAGCCTGTCAGGATTGGTATGAGCATTGATAGGAAAATAGGCACCTAAATCGGATTTTGGATGATAAATCGAGTTGGGATGGGTGGAATTCGGAAGGATGGATGGATGGATGATAACTTTTACATAAATGTTCTATAAAGTGAAAGTAAGTACTTGTATCACACTTGAATGGTAGGTAAATACGATCTTTTGTGGCTTTCATGCGGACACATGCTTGCAACTCTCCGAACTTAATTGCTATGGTGTGTGTATCCAAGCGATTTCTCCTCGTGGAATGCTTCTTATTTTGACTTTGTGGCTTGTCGTCCGACATCTTAGAACTTGATTGTCGTTGTGTCTCCAAAAGATTTATCGTCAGAGTTAACTTATCTGACAGACAATGCGTTTCTTATCTAACTTATGTTTGGCAGAGAAAAAAAATTGGACATCAATGACGTTGACATTCGAACACAATCTTTTGAGACAAATGCAATATAATTGTCGTCCAAATCACTTAGAAAATTAGGTTCCCATATTTATGGTGGAAAAGTTTGAAAAGGAAGCACGGATGGGTTTAGTCAACTTTCTCCGTCAAACCTAAGAAAATGAACTATCCAATAGGATAGAGTAACTCATCGACTCGAGTCATCTTTGTAATCATGGTATACTAATTTTTCGTGACTACAGGGTATTATTATTGTGAAGAAAGAAAGAGATCATAAGGTACTATTAGTTTAAGATTAAACCAAATAGAAAAAAAAAAAACCAAGATAGAAAAAATATATATATATATATATATATATATTGAACCTTTAAAAAAGAAAAATACTTATAACATGTTGAACCTCTTTCAAAAAATAATATTAACAATTATATCATCTCCAAGGACCAAAAAGGTTCAATAATTTATCATATCATGATCCGGTTCAATGAGCTATCTGATCCATAGCACCAATTTAACGTGGATCTTGTCCTTATAACTCATTCATTTCATCTTTTACTTTTGTTGTCGGAGTAAATGGGATATTACATGGATGACCAACAACAATATGATCCTTTTTTTTTTGTTTGTCCAAAAGTAGAAGAAATTAGAGATTTCAGTCAGCATGTCATCAACTGTTGATACCATCAAACGATGAAAAAAATACTCGACACTCTCAAGCTTTGGTTTAGAACTTCAAAATAGGATTTACATTCCATAATTAACATCCTAAACCTTTCCAACAAGCAACAGATTTATGTACTCCTCAAGCAAAGGGAGCTTCTGCTCGTCATCGTAACTATACATCACTTTCACCATCCGTGCCATGTTTAGGCATGCCATGACGAAATCTTGAGAGAAGGAGCTTGAAGAGAAGAAGCACTCCTTATTGAGCTCCTCCCATGCTTTAGATATCATTAGCATCACATGATCTCGAGCACCTTGCCCCGAGCAATAAGGGTTCTCCTTCATGAAGCATTCCAAGTACGACCCATCGAATCCATCTTGGTTCTCATCCTGTAACATGATAATTAAATCCTATATTAGTGCAAGGTTAATTACACTTAAGTTTAGTGGAAATTGGAAATCATTTATTTATAGTTTTATACCTTGGCACTTCCTAGATCATCCCAAAGTCGAAGAATTTTCGCAGGAGAAGATATTAGCTTCGGATAACTCTCTATAAGATTCACGTTGTCATGTGTTAAACCTTGTCCTAAAAGAAAGAATATGTGTATCAAAACCACCGGCACACCGCAGCTAATCGTGCCGTTTCTCATGTAGTCATCAGCCATCGGAACACGGCTATGTGCAAACCATTTCGCTTCCACCATAAATGCATTGCATAACGCTATCCACTGCAAATTCAAAGAAGCTGTATGTTATCCTTTTAGAGAGAGAGAGAGAGAGAGAGAGAGAGAGAGAGAGAGAGACG